TTCCGACACGCTGACGTACAATATAACACGTATATATTCAACAGTTATATTTCCATGTTAGTTACCGAAACGAATAGCTGCTACAATCTCGAAAGAAGCGCGCAGTCCCAACTTCGAAATGTAAAATCGCGGAACTGTAATCGTCCGAACTCTTCGAGCATCCGGCGAGCACGCGTAACAACAAAGTTACAACGCGAACTCTCACGTGTCGAGTCGAATAGAGCAAACGTTTTGTCTCTCTTTGTCTCTCTTTAATGACTCTATCGAACCTAGCGGACTATCCAAAACGCGTCGGTAAGAGTGACCTCTATTGCACCGTACGTGACAAACGTACCTGCGCTAGATAACTCATACGAATAATTAAACGTATTCGCACAATACCGGAGACGAAAGATAGAAACACTTGAAGGACAATACAATCAGGGATAATAAAACAAAGACAGCAATATTTCAACATCGTAGTAACATCGTAAAATACGGAGATGTTTCTTTTTCCTCAGCTCAGAATCACACAGCCAGATTCTAATCTTGCGGTTTTGTGATAAGCAATGACACCAGTAACAAGCCTTATTTGCACAAGGAGACACTTCCTTCTATACCTAAAAATAAAAGCAATCATTCTGAACAAAGATTTTTACCTGACTAGTATCTTGTCCTTCAAAGTAGCACGACACACGTAACGCAGCTGTAACGAAAACAGTTACATCAATTATAATTAGACGCTCTTTATCCTCGAACCTACCCAACCACCAAATTCCTTCCCTACCTCCTATCCCACATCCTGCAGAGTGAATGAATGATGAAAGAGTGATAGAATGGGCTGACACACGCAGTTCCAGCGCTGGGAGTGCCCGTGAGCGGTGGGGTTGTTCCCACCCCATCGTCTCCCGGGCTGATGTGAGCTTGCTCTGCCGAGGCGTTCGGGCTGCGTGGTGTCCGGGGATGGCCACTTCGGTCCTTAGCCAGGGAGTGTAGGTCGAGTGAAGGGGTCGGAGCCTTCACCGCGACGGGCGAGCTTCTCTTCGTCATTACTGGGAGAGATGAAGTGCTTAGTATAGGATACCCGGAGTTCCGGGTAGCTGGATAGGAATTCATCCACAGCGGGTGCACCCTCCTGTACCGCAGCCCGCCCCCTCCTACACGATGCGCCATTGAAACCACAAACAATGTCATTTACAAAAAAAACCCCCAAGCAAGGCACGATTGCACAAATTTTAAATAACATGGGAAAGGACCTCACCGAGTACTCGGGGAGAGAGCTCAGTGAGACCGACTCAACAAACGATGAAAGACTAAAGCGTGGAGACTTGGACAGAGAATCCTACGAAAGCGTTCACGCACCAAGCTTCACACTAACAAGGAGTCCCGTCAACTCTTCAAATCTGCCGCCTTCTCAAACAACCTCAACCGAGGAGAACAATGTTTTCCGAACGCCGGTAGGCACGATCACGAGAAGCACCCTGAAACAGGTCAAGCGCAAGAGAAGCGACGAAAAAAAGAAATCCGTAGAGAAGAAAAAGAAGGAAGACAAGAAGAAAAAGAAGCTAAGTTACTCACCGAACGAATCGGATGTAGGGTCCTATTCGGAAGGTGACGAAAGTGAATTTTCCGTCGACGCCGCAAACCAGCCGGACACAGCTCTAATTAGCTCGCTCCTAGACTGTGTCCAGGATATCCAGACTGTCAGAACCAAATCATCGAATCTGCAGGGTGGATATCAAAAGAAACTCAAGACTGCGGAGGAGACGATCAAGGAGATTAGCTCAGAACTTGCATGCAGAAAAATTGGCAAGGACGATGGTAAATTAAACCGCGCTCTAGCTGAAGAAAATAGTAAGCTTAAGAACTATATCAAACTATTGGAGAAAAGAATCTCCGCGCTAGAAGATTCCTCCAAACAAAAAAAAGAAGACGAAGGGAGTGTCTCAGACTCACGCAGCCTCCCTAATCAATTGGCGGAGCTAAAGACGAGCTTGGATAAGCAAATGACGGAATTCAAAGTAGAAATTAAGGCGATGCTGACATCCTGCATCACAAATAAGACGCTTGTACCTGCAACAGAAATCAATAGCTCGATTAGTAACAATGCAGTTGATAAGGGCAGAGATAACGTAAATAAACCGGCAGAGACCGTTCAAACAAAGTGGTCAGAAGTAGTTGGCAGGAAAAACAGAAGTAAAGCCAACGAAAACAAGAACCAAACCCCAGTTCAACGAACGGAAGCACAAGCAACAGGCTCCAATGTACAAATGGCCAAAAAGAAGAATCCTGTAAAAATAACAAGAGACAAAGAAGTTATTCATATTATACGGGAAGTGGGCTGTAAAATTGAATACGTGGAGATCATGAAATTAGCAAGGGAGAACATCAACATCACTGACCTGGGTATCGAAGGTGTAAGGCCGAGAACTTCACTTAACGGTGGCCTCATACTTGAGATACCAGGCAAAGACATGGAAAAGAACGCCGATGCCCTTGCTGCAAAAATTACGGACCTGGTGAAAGACAAAAGAATTAAAGTGTCACGACCTCAAAAATGGAAGGAAATAATAATTCTGGGCATGGATCTATCGATAAATGTCCACGACGTGACGGATGCAATAAAAAAACAAACAGGGAGCGACCAAGAGGTCAAAGTTGGTTCAATAAGGAAAAACCTACGTGGCTCCAGCTCTGTATCGGTAAAGTGCAGAAAAGAAACGGCTCTCAAACTCCTCGCTGCAGGGAGAATGAGAATGGGCTGGTCGGATGTGAGGATCACCGAAGCCGATGCACGTCCACTGCAGTGCTACAGGTGCTGGGAGTATGGCCATCTCAGCGGAGCCTGTAAAAGTCAAACTGACAGATCCACTTGGTGCTACAAGTGCGGAAATAAAGAACACATAGCTAGAGAATGCTTAGAAACTAATATGACGTGCAGGCTTTGTGAGGAGCGGAAACTAGCAGTTGACCACAGAATGGGAAGCCACGCGTGTTCCACACTCCGTAATTTTAAGGAAATTGACGACCTAAGGAGAAGAAACCTACCAAAGAGTAACCCCAAACCTGACGAGACATCGAAAAAGGTTGCACCACCGTTCTTGCTTGCAGCAGCAACACAACCAAGAATCCAGCCTAAACCCGGCACTGTAACATCTGACGCATCTGTAATGGAAAAGCACGCTAGAAGTAAAAACCGAGCTAATTCAACATAATGGATATAAGAATCATACAATCTAATTTAAACAACTCGCATGCAGCACACGTACTGTTCATAAAGCACTGTGCTGAAAACAACACAGATATCGGCATAATAAGCGAGCCGCGGAAAAACCCCGGAGCAGGGTGGCTTAGTGACCCTAGCGGAAAAGCCGCAATATATCTTCATAATAAAGACAACGATTTGATTATGAAGACGATAGCCACAGTTGACGGTTTCATCCTTGTCGGAGACAACCTGGTAAAGATAGGAAGCTGTTATTTTTCTCCAAGCAAGTCGCCGGACGATTTCGAGCTGTACCTGAAACAAATCGGAAAAATAATCAAAAGCGAAACCAAGAAATCCCCGCTGATTATTGGCGGGGACTTCAATGCGCACAGCAAAATCTGGGGCAGCAAAAAAGACAGCAAGAAAGGGAAATCTCTCGTAAACTGGGCTCTAAGCAACGGGCTCTTTTTAATAAATAAAGGGAACTCACCAACATGCGTAAGAACCCAAGGCTCCTCCATTGTTGATCTGACGTGGGCTAACGAACAGGCCACAAGACTATTATGGAACTGGAGAGTGCTCAGCGAGGTCGAGACTCTCTCAGACCATGTATATATTACAATGTCGCTCCACGCACAAATAAGAGACCGGGAGAAAGCCAGGAAAATTAGCGAGAGAGTATTCCCTAGATGGAATACAAATAAAATCAACCTAGACCTGTGCAGCGCTGCGATTATTGCTGACTCGTGGCACTTGCCGGAGATCAATACAGCAAACCTGGACAGAGTAATAGAAAACCTTGAGAATACACTGACCCGCGCATGCAATGCGTCGATGCCAAAAAAAAAGAAGTCGCTCTACGAAACCTCCCAATGAGTGGTGGTGTAACAGCCTCTCCATCCTGCGGAGCGAATGCCAAAAACGCAGAAGAGAGTGGCAAAGAGCGAGAAGAAGATCCGCGACATCAAACGACGAGCTGTCTGCCAAGCACGACCTATACAAAGAAACGAAAAAAGCTTTCAAAAGAGAAATGTTAAACGCAAAAAAGAAAGCACGGACCAATGTTTTAAAAACGCTGGACGATGATCCATGGGGGAAGCCATATAAGTGGACCAAGAGACTGAGAGACGGAGGTGGTCCAGTGATAACAGAAAATATGAATCCTGGACTTTTAGAGAACATAGTCAACTCTCTATTTCCGGATGGCCCACTTTGGACACCGCCAGGACGAACAACCGAATGGCGAGAAGAGTGGGAAATCACAACCCTGGAACTCCATAAAATCATTAAAAAGATGAAGAGCAAAAAAACAGCTCCGGGGCCAAAAGGCATCCCGGCCAAAATCATCGAAATATCAGCTGACTTACTGGAACACAGACTCCTGGAAATTTTCAACGGTTGTCTCAAAACAAGGATATTCCCGGTGAGCTGGAAGACAGCCAAATTGGTTCTCCTCAATAAACCCGGGAAGTCTCCGGATGACCCCGCTGCTTATAGGCCAATATGCCTGATTGATGACCTCAGTAAAATCTTCGAGAGAATCCTGGGATACAGAATTGAGGAATGGTGTGACAAAAATGACGACTCGCTAGCAAAGTGGCAATTTGGGTTCAGAAAAGGCAGAAGCACAATAGACGCCATTAAGAGACTGCGAGATTTTATTGATCAAAACGTAGAAATGGGTAAATGCGTGGTCGCGGTGAGTATTGACATCAGCAACGCGTTCAACTCCTTACCGTGGCCCGCAATTATCACAGCGATGAAAGAAAGGCGTTTCCCAAGGTACCTTATTGAAATGATAGCAGCTTACCTGTCAGATAGAAAAATCTCGGCAATCGACGCAGAAGGAAAGATCCTTTCAAAGAAAATGACATGTGGCGTTCCGCAAGGCTCAACTCTCGCAGCTCCTCTCTGGAATTTAGGCTATGACAACGTGCTACGCGCACCGCAGTCGAACAGCGTCCAAATTACAGGATACGCGGACGATACAATCGTCGCAGCCGCAGGACAATCCATCCAGAGAGCTATAGGGAAAGCCGAACTGGCAACATGGAGAGTCCTACACAGGATTAAAAAACTAGGTCTGAAAGTTGCAACAAAGAAAACGACGATCACATGTTTCCACCCAAGGAACATGAGAATTTCAAACAACACGAAAAGTATGACAATAAACGGTGAACGTATACCTATGAAAACTGAAATGAGGTACCTTGGAGTAATCCTCGACGAAATGCTGATCTTCAACAAACACATAGACAACCTGACCCCGAGGTTAAGAGGGTACTGCAACGTTCTGCACAATATCTTACCTAACCTCGGAGGTCCAAGAGAAGAAATTCGCAGACTTTATATAAACTTCTTTAATTCGATGGCACTTTATGGCTGTCATATATGGGCGAACGAAGTGCTGCAAAATAGAAAATTAATTAACACATTACTTGACGAACAAAAGAAAATGGGATTAAGAATAATTAGAGGCTACAAAACAATCGCGACGCAAGTCGTCTTCCTTCTTGCTAGCGCACCGCCATTAGACGTACTCATCGAGGTCTTCGATAAATTCTATAAACTCCAACGTGCGCTACCAACGCTAGACTCTGCATCCCTAAAAAAGGAAGAAGACAAATTAAAAACCGACAGGCTCAAAGAAGTACAATCAACCTGGCGGCTGAAACTATACTCACCAGGAACACGGGAGCACAGAGTAATCAAGGCGATACTCCCGAACTTCGATAACTGGATCAATCGCCAATTTGGTAGCCTTTCATACAGAATGACACAGGTAATCTCCGGGCACGGATGCTTCGGAGATTACCTGTATAAAATAAAAAAGGAGCCGACGCCGAAATGCCACCACTGCAGTGAGAGCAAAGACAATAATACACATACCGTCTTTGCATGCCCAGCATAGGCAGACG